CCAATCCACGCGCAAGTCTTGACATCTTGACCCAAGATGTCAAGGTCTTCATCGAAATCGATGGACAAACAACTTAAGGTAGCATCATCAGTGCTGTCATGCTATCCATTCATTAACTACTTTGTTAATGAAACGTCTGCAAGAAAACCATCAAGCTCAGAGAGCATCAAGGAGTCTTGGTTGAGTTTCCCATTGAACGTCCTACAAGCAGTCAAAGTTGATTCTCCATCTGGAGGTTGGTTCCCTGTCACCACAGAATGTCTTCTCTCTTGGCATTCCCATATTGGTAGTGGCAACAGAATGGAAGGAAATTTATATCAGCCCTTTGCAACCATTTTACAGGAAATAAAAGTAAAAAAAACACACCAGTCACTGAAAAGGGAAAAGGGGGGAAAAAGCCCTCACTTCCTGCTGGATCTCTTATTCCTTTCATAGACTTGGGCTTCCCCATTGCTGGGTCCATTTTAATGGGAGGAAATGCATAATCTTCTATATAAATAAAAATGTAAATGTTCGTTTGTTCAAAATCTTAAATCTCCGAAAGTTCTTCACCGATTGCTTTGAAATTTTGACACAACGTTGCATTCCAATACGCGCGTGTTTTTATATACCTACTATTATATAGATGTCACACCTGTGACAGGTAAAAACATGCTTTTTTTGAAAAACAGCGCCATCTGTTGGACGTAAAAGCAACACACGCTAGCATTGTGAAATTAAACATTACAAACGTGCGCTTTCTCTTTTCTTTCTTTTCCATTTAACCAGACTGAGCCACAGCAACGCGTGGCCGGGTACAGCTAGTAAATACATAAGTAGACATGCACACGGTTGTGTTTTGGGTTCCCCTTTCATAGCAAAGCTGTCAAGCCATAGATACAGAGAATTCAAGCTGTTTAACATTGTCTTTATCTCGATGCAATATTTATAAAGAAGAGTCATGTACACTGGGCTGGTTAAACAAAGTGCTTATGTTTGAAACACATTCACGGGTAGCAATGCCAAGTGTTGGGAAAATATTTAGGGATCCAGCAATAATGTAAGTGGGAGGGAAGGAAGGAAAATTGGTATTCACTGTAATCTCTTTTTTTCCTGTTGAGTCTGCATGTTTTCAGATGATACTTATTTTGTGTTTAAGGGTTGCATCCTGTTTCTCTTTCTATTGTCTGACTCTTTTTCCTGCACTTAAGTTGCTAAGAAGATGGGAGAGAGAGGAAGAAAATGAGTGGTGAAGGATGGAGAGGCAGAAGGAAATAAATGCATCCTTCTTAGCTGTGGCTTTTTATTGCTTAACTATTTGAAGCTTCTGGTGTTAAGCTGTAAATAACTAAAGCAACGAAGTGAAAGAATACCATACATTATTTGACAATGCAGTTGACTCTGCCTACATTCTTGTATGTGCATATCCTGAAAATACGACCCTTTGAACTCAGTGGGGTTGTCCTAAGCAAATAGATGTAGAATTACTCTTTTAGTGTTAGCGTTTAGGGCAGGTTAAAGAATGTTTGATGATTAGCCAGGAGTGACAGCAACTTTGCAGGATGCTTTTATCTGTCTGTCTATCTGATTTCTATAGCTGCCCATCTCATCAAACAACAAAATTTTCCCATCAGTTGCCAGTTTCCTAGGTGAAAATGCATCAAACTGCATTCCAGGAGTATCCAAACATTTGGGACTGGGGACATAAGTACAAGGGTGAGGAGGGTACATGGTTAGTGGAGCCGTTCGCAAAAAAACCCCGGTTGCTTCAGGAGATATACATATTCATAATATGGGTGCCAGGTTAGATGTAACCAATCAGAAAGCATTTGTTAGTCTGGTGGACTAATCTCAACCTTGTCTCAATATATTCTGGAATGACCTCTGGAATGACTTACCCTCTGGAATGACCTACCCCCCGACCTACGTACAACTGCGGACCTGCGCCTCTTTCGCCAAGTCTTGAAAACCCATCTATTCCATGCGGCCGGCCTGGCGTAGTTTTGATTGGGTTTTGGTAGGGGGTATTTTAGGGGGTATTTTATAGGGGGTATTTTAGAGCAGGCTTTTTATTTAATATTTATTGTGATTTTTATTATCGCCTGTTCACCGCCCTGAGTCCCGTAAGGGAGATAGGGCGGTATATAAATTTTAATAATAATAATAATAATAATAATAATAATAATAATAATAATAATAATAATAATAATAATAATAATAATAATAATAATTTCCTAAGTCATTTTTTTCAGTATCATTGTAACTTAGAACTGTCACTAAACAAATGGTTATAAGTTAAGGACTATATCTGTATAGGAAACATTCAGATTTTCTTGATGGTACCCTTACAAAAGCATTCTAATTAATAGCCTGCAAATCAAAGCTTCTACTGAAGCTTGAGCGTTAATTGTGCTTTCTTGTTTAATGATAAAGCATATTGCCTCCCTCTGCCCCAAAATATAGTATAAAATAGTCCAAATTTCACAGAATGTCATGTGAAGATGCCCAAAGCTCTTGAGTTTTGGTAACTCACCAATCTCATCATTCTTCCTTCTCATCCCCCCTCATCACTATCCTTTTTTTAATTAATTGAATTGTGAATGTTAATTTTAGTTTGCTGTAGGGTCCATGGCTGCTGCCTTCTCAGCCTCTAGATTAATTTCAGCTTCACTGAAAATCTAAACTATTTAGAGATAACAGCAGAGAGTCCTCAAGTCTCCTGGAGTCTGAAATCACCCATCGGTGAAAAAATGAGAACAGGTTCGTGAGGGTGAAAGAAAAAAGCCTATAAAATTCCTAGGATTCCTCAGAAAAAAGGAGACCCCCACCTGCGTAGATAGGAAGGAAATCATGATACCTCTGTGGCATTCTTCAATGACATTGCATTAACTTTAACGGCATTGCAATTTTTCATAGTTAACATGAAGACAAGGAGAGAGGCTCTGGTAAAAACGGAATGCAGCTGGTTCAAAGGGTGCATAAAACGGAGTCAGAGGAAAAAAACGTGTCAGTGGCTGGACTGTATTCAATCATAGTCCTATTTCTGACTGGTGCTTATAATAAACAAGGGTTGGATTGTCTTGATTATGCTCTGATTTTCTTCAAGGAAGTCTTACCTTTTTCCCACTGATTCAGCAAGGCAGTTCTTGCTACGTTCTCATGTCCTTTAGAAACAGCACCATCTACCGGTTGACGTCTATGTTATGAGCAATCAAATTTACAGTTTCTTGGCTGTGCAGGCAGCTGGAGTTGTGAATTGGTTTCTGAATGAGAAGGAGTCACATTTTGTATCCATCTCACAAACAAGGAACAACTAAGGCAGGGGTGTCAAACTGCTGGCCTGCGGGCCGGTTGCATCATGCAGAGGTCACGTCCCACCCCAACTCCGGCAATGCAAAAAAAGTCACGATGCGTCACGGCATGTCATGTGACGCGGCGAGTTTGACACCCCTGAACGAAGGGATTAGATATATCGTGACTCTATAAAGACTAATCTAATTTCTCTCAGTTCCTGTTTCTGTTTTATGTTCTTGATACTTGACAAGTTTAGAATGCTTAGGTTTCATCATCATCATTTGATGCGGGTTACAAAGATTTGCGTAGCATTTTGCGTGCTCGATGGTTGGACTGAAAGATATTAGCTCTCTTTTCTGTCAGAGTTTATTCGTGGTTATTGCGGTTCTCAAAATACTTGCCTAACTGGGTATTTTAGAACAATTCATACGGACAGTTTGCAGCTCAGGACTCGGTAAATTATTGAAATGTTAAGACCTGTAAGAAGTCCCCTGATTTTATCAAGATTTATTTAGAAGAATTATTAGAGAGTTTGGAATATATATATATTCTCAATTCTTTGCCAAGACCAAGCTGAAAAATGATTATGGGAAATGAAATCCAGCCATCTAAGAGGTATTAGTTTGAGGAAGGCTGGGTATTGAAATTAGCCCACTTCCTTGCTCTATTAAGTATTTACACTCAAGTGCTGAATAAAATTTTGTTTGTAAGCTGTTTCATTAATTTTTTTAAAAAAATATTTCTTTTACTATCCAGACTCATTGCATCACACTCAAATAATTTGGAGGAATAACTTTCAAAAATATAATCTCACAGTCTCCCAATTTCTAGCGGGATCTTTAACCATTACACCAAATTGGTTCTCGTGTCTTAAAAACTCCTTAATGCTACTTTATTTCCAATTCCATATACATCAAAATGTATTTCCTTTTAGGCTGATTCTGTGCTACCCAGTTATCAGTCTCGGCAGGATCCAAGAATTTGTATAACAATATTATGAATTTCTGTAGCACCTCCCATCAGGTTCTTGATCAGGTTCTTGATCCTCAATGCTTCATACTCTCAGTCTGATCTGTGTTTTACTTATTTTCTTTGCCAGAATGAACGTGTGATGCAGGTTCTTATAAGTAAGGCTGTTGTTTTTTTTACTTTTTCAGGTGCTACCAGAGAAATTGGCTCTGCTTTAACTAGAATGTGTATGCGACATCGAAGCATTGAGTCCAAGCTCAGGCAGTTTTCAAGGTGAGTTATGCATGTTGCCAGTTGACAATCTGGAAATAGAGTTTCATTAGATTCTGGATGGCATTCAGAATTTAATTGGTATTCAGTCTGTTTCATTCAGGAGCATATTAAGCTGTTTACTGGGGCTGACTTCCAGCCAACCTCAACTTTTTTGTTGCCGGGATCACCCTTTCATTTTCTCTTACTGTACAAATTGGGCTTTGTAAAAGGGAAAATGTAACGATGGCTTGCTCTGTATTTTCAAAGTAGTAATTCCTGTTTCAGACATTACTGTAACTCAGCAGTGAGTGAAGAATGGCAAAATGCACAATTTCCATATTTGAGAACATTTGAGAACATGCAAAAACATGTTCCCCCTCTCTGGGGTTATTTCTGGTAACTCTTGAGTAAATTGGGGAGTTGTTCTTGTGTGATGATTATAAGAGATTGAGTAAAAAAATTAGGGAAGTATTGCAGCAAATCTAAATTGTGCTTTGTCGTCACAAAAGCAAGGATGCACAGATTGAACCTCCCTAGAGTTTTGGATTTGGCTTGTATCTTTCTTGCAGAGATGCCACAAAACTGTCATTTTTTTAACGTAGCAGATGGGGAAAATTATCAGATAATGGCAAATCATAATATTAACTATAAGTAATTGAATTTAGATTACACGCCTGTGTAATTAAATCAGATTTAGCATTTGATTTGTCCTGGTAATTTCTTTGTCCTGAGCACTCCTATTTGCAAACCCACCACTGAAAGGTTAAGTGTGGTTTTGCTCACCCCTTTTGCATTGAGTGGCCTTGGGCTAAACCAGTATTTTTCAACCTTGGCAACTTTAAGATGTCTGGACTTCAACTCCCAGAATTCCCCAGCCTCTCAGTCTCAAACAGCCTGTCATTTACTCCATAGGCAGCCTTGAGGCAATACCTGAATCCTTTCTTACAGAATTGCTAAGCCTGATTTATGCAGTTGTGATTGAATTGGACTGAGGTTTTTCTAATTTCTGGACTTTTGGTTCGTGTGTGGGAAAAGCGTGCCCTTAAAAGGCTTAGAGGGAGATTCAGATTGGTTCCTTTTCCTGCAGGATTTGATTCCTCTTTGTGTTTTCTCAACAAAATTAGTGCTTTAATTGACTGTCTGATAAACCCACTTCAAGAGCAGATGGAAGAATGGAAGAAAGTGGCCAATCAGCTGGACAAAGACCATGCAAAAGGTAGTTACATGGAAGCGGGACTGGGGTGTGGTGTGGGGCAGAATTTATAGAATAATATGAATAGAGAGCATAGGCAATAGCCTTAAAAAACAGAAGGATGTCAGTCCAATAAAACAACCAGCTTACCCGATGGGATTAGCCCACCCCACTCATACCAACAGAAGGGACATGCTGCAGTAACCATCAGCCAAAGAAGTAAAGCTTTTTCTGCCATGGCTCCCCCCCCCCCAAAGAACATCCTGCCCCTTGAGGTCAGATCTGCTCTCATTCTTCTGGCCTTCTGAAAGACCTTGAAAACATCGCTGTGCCAACTAACCTGGGACCCAATGGGGGTGTGGTACATTGGAGGTGACTGATTCACTACACAATACCCCATCTCCTCTCTGTGCACGCTTTACTTGCTCTGTCACCATTCTGCTTAATTTTATTTTATTTTAATTTTTAAACTTAAGATCTTTATTTTATTCTATTTTTATTCAATATCTATAAGCCACCTAGAGTCGCCTTTGTTGAAATGGGCAGCATTCAAGGTAGGTAGGTAGATAACTAGATAGATAGACAGACAGACAGACAGACATAGTCCTTGACTTGCGACCACAGTTCAGCCCCAAATTTATGTTCTAAGTGAGATAATTGTTAATGACTTTTCTTGCCACAGTTGTTAAATGAATCACTACAGTTGTTAAATTAGTAACGTGGCTGTAAAATGAATCTGGCTTGTTCTTGTCAGAAGGTCGCAAAAAGTCATCCACATGATTCCAGGACAGTGCAACTGCCATAAATATGAACCAGTTGCCAAGCATCCAAATTTTGATCACGGGACCACACAGGTTGTCAAGGTTCCAACTGATGAACCCAACTGAGTAAGCACCAACAAGACGATCCAATCTCTTTTTATGCAAAACTTTATTGAGTACATCATTTCGGCACAAATGAAAGCAAAACCAACTCTGGATATTTCCCGCTCAAACCACTATAATTAAAATATACAATCCTCCCTCCCCTTGTTAGTGTAGGTCACATTGTCCAATCAAGTCTTGAAATATTGTTATGGGAAAGTGTCTCTGTGAGTTGGCAACGTCTGTTGAAACGTCCTTGGTTCCCACGGCTTGACTTCTTGTTCTTAGGAACCTGCATTCCCCTTCCCTCTCTCCTCCCCCCTAGCGTGTTGACAAGCTGAGAAGCACTAATGGTGGCAATATCATGCGAGCGCTTCAAACTTGACACAGGTGCTACTATAGTCATAAGTGTGAAAAACAGTCATAAGTCACCTTTTTCAGCACCGTTATAATTTTGAACGGTCATTAAACAAATGGTTTTAAGTCGAGGCCTACCTATATATAGATGTCAGAACTACTTTGATCATAACAGCTAGGGCAGGGGTAGGCAACCTTGGCTCTTTTATGACTCGTGGACTTCAACTCCCAGAATTCCTGAGCCACCATGCTGAGGGGAATTCTGGGAGTTGAAGTCCACGAGTCATAAAAGAGCCAAGGTTGCCTACCCGTGAGCTAGGGCAACAGAATCTTGCGAGTCTGAATGGTCTTCTCTCCTCCCTCACATTCTCTCCTTGTGAACGAAGGAGGGGCTTGTCTAATACATTTTCTCAAGTTATTTTCTTGACCCCGCTTTTCTGTCCCCTGCAGCTTTTCTTCCTGTGTCCTTCAAGGCCATTTGCTATTTCCCCTACAGGTTGTTAAAATCTGCCTGCTCAGGAGTTCCTTCCTTTCAGACAATGGCTCCCACAATGTTAACAGTAACATTCCCCAAACAGTTATTGCTGAGGCAAGTCTTCAGCTGTCTCAGAACACGAAACAATAGTCTTCATATACAAGAAGGCACATTCCTGCAGGATATTAAGAAAAAAAAATCCTAACAATGGAAACTGTTTAACAACCCAGCCAGTTGCCTGGTGCTGGGCAGGATAAGTTGAAACCCTGATATTGTCCCCAAATCCACTTTTTGCAGCAGAACATCAAAGGTACATTTGGGTGACATTTAATGAGATGGGAAGCAGATAAAAATTACAGTGTAGGCCTTAAAATATATCCTGTAGGAATGTCATATTTCAAGTAGCAAACCTTTCAAAACGTCCCTAAAAATACTCCTCACTCACATATTGACAAGTTACACTCAAATTGTGGCCTTTAGGATCACAATAATTGGTCCACCATCTCTCTTATATCTATATATCTATATTATCGATAGATAGATAGATAGATAGATAGATAGATAGATAGATAGATAGATAGATAGATAGATAGATAGATAGATAGATATAAGAAAGGCTCAAAAATTGGATAGACATTTATTGTAGATGCTATAACCTGGATTCCTACACTGAGCAGTGAGTTATCCTCCATGGTCTTAACATTTTCAACATTATGATTAAGCACAATAGCTTCTGTTAATAATGTGATGACCTTTTTTTAAAAAAAAACCAGATTTTGTTCTGATCACACAGTTTACGATTTAGCCTCTCCTATATGCTGTGTTTACGCACATGCTCTATACTAGTGCTCCCCATCCTTTCTGTGTTGGTGGCCCGGAGGGAAAGGGAGGAGCAGGAAAATGTGTGTGCGCATGCACAAAATGGGCACACGGTGGTGGCACTAGCGCCCATGTGCGTGCACAAGTGGGCTGCACGCACCCATGGCGGTGCTGGCACCCACGCGTATGCGCAAACGGGGCCATTAGCATCTGCACGGCGGTGCTAGAAACAGCCATTCCAGTGGCTCACAGGCCACACACCGGTACTGGGTCGCGGCCCACAGGTTGGAGACCCCTGCTCTACACACACACACATACACACAATCACACACACACAAACCCAAACACATCTGGCTTTTTAAGCATCTGCTGAGATGAATGAAGTCTCGAGTCCATATTGTAATAAAATTGTCAGTGTCTAAAGTGGCACAAAAATATTGCTTGATTTGTCCTATATTTTGTTTTTGGCTACGGGAGGATATGTATGTCATTCAAACTGCTGGTCAAAAAGAGTCCTGCTTGTTCCAGATCATAAATTGATTAGTACCGTGACCTTATTCTTCTACATAAAAAAGGAAGGCATGGCAATCTGTTGCAATTGCTTAGAATCCCTTCTGTGATTACTTATGACCCCTGTAACCTCAGTTGATTATGTTTTCCTATTCTTTCTTGACCTTCGTTTGTGCAAAATGTTAAATGCATTAGGCCCTTAAAATGAAAGTTGCTTAAGCTTCAATCTCGTGTAAGCTTACCTTGGCATAAACCCACTGAATTCAGCATAGCTTATGCTTACACAGTACTACTATTAAAATCCTTCTCCAACATTGCTTAACTTGAGTTTCTAGCACCATTGCCCATCAAATATGTTTATATACAATCTCTCTCTTGCTCTCACTCTTTCTTTGCAGAATACAAAAAAGCGCGCCAGGAAATAAAAAAGAAATCTTCAGATACCCTGAAGCTTCAGAAGAAAGCAAAGAAAGGTACGGTTCTCTCATTTTTCCTTCACTGTCTTGATAGAGACCTGATCAGAAGGTTCCACTTTTATCCCAAAGCAAAATGTTGCAAAAATGTGACTCCATATTGCTGTTTAGCTGGCTTTCAGTTCCTCATCTGTGATCAACCCTGAGTTTGTTGAACTTGCTAGACAGAACTATTGCTTCTCAGTGGAATGCAAAATTGGACAAAAAGCAGGTATCACTTAATTCCAGAGCCACAAGACCTTATTAGTACATTTGAAATTTAATGGAATTAGATTATGGAAGTGCACCCATTCTTAAAAAATGAGAATAAACAAACAAATAAATAAATCAAGTTTACTGCTCCAAAGACATTGAAGACATAAGTCTAGGACTGCTGGAGGCCAGAGAATGAACACAAAAATATTTTTTCATACCAATTTAATTTTAATCTGCAATTCTGGGACCATAGGAGTGCTTCTTGCAACATCAAAGGCATGTTGTTTATTCAAAATTGAAAGCTGTATTTGTATATTATGATTTCTTAATTAGAATAGAAATGCTACCGAGAAATAGTAAGTTAGAAAATTATAGGGACATCTCCTCCTCCTCCTCCTCCTCCTCCTCCTCCTCCTCCTCCTCCTCCTAGTATGTCACCTTGGCTGGATAATTCTTCCCTTCTGTTTCAAGAAATTGGTGAGCCTGTGAAACATTGGGGAAACAGGACACAACATTTTACTCACAAAAAAAGGAAAGAAGACTTCTTCAAGTAACACATACATTTTAGTATTTAAATGCTCCCACTTGGAGCCCAAAAGTGATTGGCTTGCGAGTTATAACTGTGAAGTTACAGAATACAGAATATCCAGAGTTGGAAGGGACCTTGGAGGTCTTCTGATCCAACCTCCTACTCAATCAGGAGACCCTATACCAGGGGTAGGCAACCTTGGCTCTTTTGTGACTCGTGGACTTCAACTCCCAGAATTCCTGAGTCAGCATAGCTGACAGGAGTTGAAGTCCACGAGTCACAAAAGAGCCAAGGTTACCTATCCCTGCCCTATACCATTCCTGTCCAATCTCTTCTTAAAAATCTCTTGTGATGGAGCATCCACAACTTCTGGAGGAAAGCTATTCTACTGATTAATTGTTCTCACTGATAGGAAATTTCTCCTTAGTTCTAAGTTGGGTATCTCTTTGTTAAGTTTCCATCTGTTACTTCTTGCCCTGCCCTCAAGTGCTTTGGAGAATAGATTAACTGCCTCTTCTTTTAGTTTACTGACGTAGCTTCTGAGAATCTTCCTGTGATTGCAGAGGGATCAAAATGTAATATAAACAAACAAATAACAGCTTCTCTTTGCAAAATTAATCAATCTGTTGAAAATCACAGTGTTGGACAGCAGTAGGAAAATTACTGGAATGCAACAGTTATGCTGACTGCCACATAATATGCTGGAAACCTGTTTATACATTTAACAAGATTTTTACACTTTCCCAATTGATCTCTGAATGCTTATAAGGTTATAAGCCATGGTGGTGTAGTACTTAGCAGGCTAATTCTGCTGACTGCCGGCTGCCTGCAGTTTGGCAGTTTGATCCTCACTGGCTTAAGGTAAACAGACTTCCATCCTTCCAAGGTGGATAAAATGAGGACCCAGATTATGGGGGGGCAAGATGATGACTCTGTAAACCTCTTAGAGAGGGCTGTAAAGCACTGTGAAGCGGTATATAAGTCTAAGCGCTATTGCTATCAAAACAAAATCTTTATATAACAGTGGTACACAATAAAAGCAACTGTTCATTCTTGCAAGGCATTCAGATTGTTAAAAGACAAATTTAAAATTTTTGAGTTGACTCTAAAATCAGAAGTGAGGGTACCAGCTGAATCTCTGGGGTTGATGTACTGGTAAAATCCTTTTGATGTTCCACCTTTAGCTTGTGCTATTCCTATGGTCAATGCTTTTGGATTGCTGGGAATTTATTTGATCTGGGCAGAATTCAGTGTGGTTAAGGCAGTAGAACTGCAAGAAACCCTTGCTTAACAACCATCCATTTAGCAACTATTCAGAGTTACAACAGCACTGAGAAAAGCAACTTATGACTGTCCTGGCATTGTAATATCGCCATGATCCAGCACTTGGGAACTGTTGTGCATTTTACAATATTATTACACCATCCTGCAGTCACAGGGTCACTATTTGCAACCTTTCTAGCCAGTTTCCAACAAGCAAAGTCAAGGCAGAAGCCGTTTAAGGCCGCATGTCATGGTCACGTGAGCCTCGCTTAACGACTACAGCCAAAAAAGGTTGTAAAATCAAGTACGGTCACATAATGACACAGCAGCAGATTTTGTGTTCCGTATTGTGGTGGTAAGTTGAAAACTACCTGTAATTCACACAGATGTTTTAACAAATTTTCATCAGTAAACCACAAATACATTTTAATGATAGGAGTTAGTGCCTTGGTTTGAAGTCAGTTTTTCCACTGAAAACCCTGCTGTTCTAGGTTCAGCTGCCGGAAGATGGCTTGTAGAGTGAAAAACTACTCTGAGGTTATGGGGTAGGGAGAACAATTTCCATATCTCCTACCGCAGGCTGAATATATGTGGTTCTCTGAAAGTTGCTGACCTAGCAGCCTCCAGAATCCTTACAATCAATCATGCTTGTGAATGCTCCTAAGAGTCCAAAACTACAGTATGCTAAGATATATTTTTTTTAAACAGTATTGTTTGGGTCCTGATGTAGGATTAGTTCTAGAGCAGTGTTTTTTAAACTTGGCAACTTTGATGAATGGACTTCAACTCTCAGAATTCTCCAGCCAGCTTTGCTGGCTGGGGAATTCTGGGAGTTAAAGTCCACACATCTAAAAGTTGCCAAGTTTGAAAAACACTGCGCTAGAATCTTGTTTGAACAGAAATTACATCCTGGTAAGTCCTCAATTTACATCCACAATTGGGAGCAGAATTTCTGTTGCTAAGCAAAGTGGTTGTAAGTGAGTCGCGCTTGATTTTATGGCCTTTTGGTGTTGTTAAATGAATCATGGCAGTTGTTAAAGTGAATCACGTGATCATTAAGTCATTGCTGCTTTCCCGACTGCAGGGGTCTTCAAACTTGGCCCTTTTATGACTTGTGGACTTCAACTCCCAGAATTCCTCAGCCAGCGTGCCTTGAAGTCCACAAGTCATAAAAGGGCCAAGTTTGAAGACCCCTGCCCTATTGATTTTGTTTGTTGAAAGGCAACTGAGAAGATTTCAAATGGGGATCAGATGAGCCCAGGGTGCAGCAATCATGGTAAATACATGCTAGTTGCCAAACACCCAAATTCTGACCATGTGATTGTGGGGATGCTGCAACGGTTATAAGCATGAGGACCAGTTGTAAGTAACTTTTTTCAGTGCCATTGTTACTTCAAATGATCACTAAACAAATGGTTGTAAGCCAAGGACTACCTGTAATATATTGAAACTAGCACAAAATCTAGTGTACGCAAGTTCAACGCTGTAAATCTAAAAGCATATTTTGAGAAGAATTTTCAAATGTTTAGTTGTTAACTTTCTTCTCTCTTATGCATTTTTTTCCAGCCCAATTATTTTTTAGGTCAGCTGCTGAACTAGACTTTTTTAAATGGTGGGCAATTAGAGTATCCCCTCCTATCAAAAAAGAGTAGCAATTTTGGATGTTGTTGACAGATGCAAAGAAGATTATAAATGGGGAGTTATTTTACTTTCTGGCAAAGCATTTCCAAAAGTCTTCAACAGAAAGTATCTCACTGGAAAAATATATTGTCCATGGCAAAGTTCTTTTTGTCGGTGGCAATTCAAAAACAGCATCTGGAAGTATTTGTAGCTAAAAATGAGCAACCTCTTTAAAACCCATTAAAGAAGAAATTAATTTGGGGGAGGAAGGAAGAAAAAAGAGGGAATCTACTTTAAGTCGGCGCAATGAATACCACTGCATAGCATCTATCACAGTTTAAAAAGCAGTTGCTGAAGATGGCATTGTGAATCAAAAACAAAATAAAGAAGACGCAACGGTGTTTGTGGCATCAATTCTTCACAAGCTTCAGTAAAGAAAAAGGGGAAACAAAGTGAAAATACAATACAGGCACTCCTCGGCTTATGATCAGTTGCTTAGCAACCATCAAAGTTATGATGGACACTCGCAAAGGTACTTAAGACCCAGTTTTAAAATTCTGCCTCCCCAGTCATGTGACATTTTGGGTGCTTGACAGCTGATCCCCATTTACAGCCGTTTACAGAGTCCCTGAGTCACATGGCTGCAATTTATGCCAAAACCCAGCATTTACTTCATTTTTGGCAAAAAAAATACCCCATAGCGAACAATGGTTTCATTTAACCCTAGTCATTAAATGGTTAACTTAAGTGGTTTCATTTAACCACTTAAGTTAACCATTGAATGTCTACGGTCAAAAAAGATAAAATCAGGTCAGCCCTGTGATGACCCACTTTGCAACCATCACGACTTACAAATATAATTGGTAGGCTTCATGACGGTTGTAAATCAAGGACTACTTATCTCTTAGGTTTAAGCATGGGTTTTTCTAGATCTGTAAAAATATAGTTATGGCAGATTTGCGGTCAACTTCAGAAACTATTTCAGTTGTTCCAAGAATACAAAACGTGGGATAAAAAATTTAAAAATCGTACACAATATAGAGAGAAGTATCTGGTCAGCTCCATTTTGTTGGTTTAGCGCCGATGAAGTGTTATAAAGGAGTTTGAGCAAAATTGCTTGGAGTAGAAATGGCAATATTGAGTCCAGAAAGGAAATGATATCCATAGCAACAGGCATAGCTAATAATTGTAATAATTGTGTTGGGATGCAATTGCTACATGGTACATTATTTTAATCTCGATTGCCTTTTGTATTCATTATCTCTTATTTATTTGAAAAAAAAAATATGGCTGCTTATTATATGCAAGACCCCTAGATGGCCAAGAAACATACATAAACCATAAAAAGGAAAGATTAAAACTCTTACCACAACATCAGGGAGAGACAGTTCCA